GTGAAATGCTGGCTTCTATCACATTAGAACCCTTGTGGTTTTTTGTTGCTGTTCATTGCTTTATTTATTTATTTATTTACTTATTTATGTTAGTTAACATACAGTGAAATGTTGGTTTCAGGAGTAGAATTCAGTGATTCAAGACTTACATATAACACCCAGTGCTCATCACAAATGCCCTCCTTAATACCCATCACTCTTCTAGCCCATTCCCCTCCTACCTCCTCCAATAACCCTCAGTTTGTTGTCTATTTTTAAGAGTGTCTTACGGTTTTTTTCCCTCTCTTTTTTTCCTTCTTCCCATATGGTATCTGTTTTGTTTGTTAAATTCCACATATGAGTGAAATCATATGGTATTTGTCTTTCCAGACTGACTTATTTCATTTAGCATAATACACTCTAGCTCTATCCACGTCATTGCAAATGGCAAGATTTCATTCTTTTTGATGGATGAGTAATATTCTATTGTGTATATAAACTACATCTTCTTTATCCATTCATTAGTCAGTGAACATTTGGGCTCTTTCCGTAGTTTCACTATTGTTGCTAATGCTGCTATAAACGTCAGGGTGCATGTAACCCTTCAATTCAGTATTTTTATATCTTTTGGATAAATACATAGCAGTACAATTTTTGGATCATAGGGTAGTTCTATTTTTAAATTTTTGAGGAACCTCCATACTGTTTTCCCGAGCAGCTGTACCAGTTTACATTCCCACCAGCAGCGCAAGACGGTTCCCCTTTCTCTGCATCCTCGCCAACACCTGTTGTTTCTTGCGTTGTTAATTTTAGCCATTCTTACAGGTGTGAGGTGGTATCTTATCATGATTTTGATTTGTATTTCCCTGATGATGAGAGATGTTGAGCATTTTTTTCATGTGTCTGTTAGCCATCTGGATGTCTTCTTCATTGCTGCCTCTTTTGGGAAATACAACATGCACAGTTCAGCTCCTCTTTCTCTCTGACAGCTGTGCTCATTCTTATCCCCATTTTCCTTGGCACCTTCTTTTCCTCTTCCTTCTCTGATCTGTTTATGTCCTAAGGGGCGCTCTTCCCTCTTTCTTTTCACACAACTCACTTCTCCTTAGTAATCTTATCACTCCTATTACAAGTCCTAAACTGTGGATACCAATCTATGTTTTAGAGAGAGTAGAGTACAGCAAACTTTTTTTGAAAGGGCCAAGTAGTAGATAATTTAAGCTTTGCAAGCCATGCAGTCTCTGTCACAACTACCCAACTCTGCTGTTGTAGTACAAACACAGCCATAGATAAGACATGAACAAATGAGCATGGCCGTGTTCCAATAAAACACTGGAATTTGAATTTCATGAAAATTTCACATGTGATGACATATGTTAGGGGATGAATTGTGTTTCCCCAAAATTTATATGTTGAAGTCCTAACTCCTAGTACTTCAGAATGTGGCTGTATGTGGAAATTGAATCTTTAAAGAGGGAATTCAATGAAAATGAGGTCATTATGGTGAGCCCTGATCCATTATAACTGGTACCCTTATAAAAAGAGGAAATTAGGACAGAGATACAGATGGAAGACCATGTGAAGATGCAGGGAGAAGACAGCCATCTGAGAGGTCTCAGAACAAACTAACTCTCCATCACCGTGCAGACCCTTCAGACTTCTAGCCTCTAGAGTGGTGAGAAAATAAATTTCTGTTACTTGAACTACCTAGTACTTTTTAATTGCAGCCCTGCAAATTAATACAACATGTTTTTCTTCTTTTTATTTTTTTCAGCCATTTAAATATGGCTTACAACTAGTGTTAGCTCACAAGATGTACAAAAACAGGTAAGAGGCTACATACGGCTTGCTGGGCCCAGTTTGCTAAACCCTGATCTGGAGGTCTTTTTCAAGCTTCATTTTATAAAACTGACTACTACATTACTTCCTCATATTCTTCACACCCAAAATGTCTCATATAATTTGATCATAATTTGGCTAATGCCTTCCCCCCTTTGCATCACCTGCTTTGTTGAGTGCAACCATCCTCCATCCAGTCACCCACACCATAAACCTGGTAGTTATCCTAGTACATTTCTCCCTTTCCTTCATTTCCCACATCTCATAAAGGACCTATTCTTACTGATTCCACCTTGTAATATTTTCCCATCTACATGACATCTTCTATCGCTTAATCTGTTGTAATACTGTGCAAATTTGTCCTGATCCTCAGCCTTACTGTCCACACTGCTGCCAGAGAGACTGTCTAAAATCTAAATCTAGTTATATTGCTCCTCTGCTTAAAATCTTTTAAAGCTTCTGGTATCTAAAACCTGAGTTTCTGAACATGATACACACTGTATTCCTTGAGGTCTTACTTCATCAAATTCAGTCTTTGATGGGCTCTGCTTTCAATAATAGTTTAAATGAAATACTAGCCATTTCCAGGAAGAGGCATGAGGTTACCTACCTCTCTGCCTTTATTTGTGTTTTCTTGTTGCAATATTTCCCCTCTTCACATGATGAACATTCGCTCCTTGATCATAGGAGCTAGTTTTCTTCTTTAGTTCTTACACAAGACTTAGCAAAAGGTAAGCTTTTCAAAAATATGTTAATTAATGAATGGTGATCAGAAGAGCTGTGTATATACTCTGTGTCAGAGCTGTGTAAGAGATGTATATATACATATACATACATCTCATATATATACATATAGATTCACTCATATATACATACATATATATATATATGTATATATATATATGACAATAATGTGTCTGTATATTTCTGTAAAGTTACATACACAAAATCTCTATTTTTTGGCCCAGCCAGCAGTGGTATAACAGGTGTGGCAATTAGAGCCAAGTTGAAGGACAACTGATCTCCAAAGAGTCTGGATCCAGGATTCCATCAGTGTAGGGTACATTCAGAAACATCAAGGAAAGCATCACTGTCCATTTCCTGCTTACTCCTGGATCTGTAGCTTTGTTTAGGCCATCTCCCCCAACCAGACATGCACTGTCTTCTGTTTCCAATTACCTAAGCCCTACGTGTCCTCCACAGTTCCTTAGACCTGTATTCCTTCAGGGTTCCAAAAGCCTGCTGCCTCTATTCCAGGATTTACTGAATATTATTCCCTTCTCTCCTGTAACATTTAATATCCCTCTATTTAGCACTAACTTTTAAAATTTCCCTCTGGTTCTGAGTACCTTCTTCCTTTTCCCTGTAAAATCCTCTGCTAATGATCATCTCAGCACATAGCTCAGTTCCAAGCACCATGTAGACAACTGAAGGACCAGGGTTCAAAAGAGTCCTTTGTTCGGATCTCTCTTACAGTGCAGAGAATCTGCTCTGTACTGCATACATGACTTGATATTTTGGGGTGTCACTGAACTCTTTGAGAATCCAGAACATAGTACTCTTCTTCTCAGAAAAAATACAAATGTGCACACACACACACTTATATGCCACTGACACACACGATTTTACATGGAATTGTAAGGATTCATCAACCGCAACTTACCAGATTATACATTTCTTTGCCTACAGAAAACATATTGTATTTTTCAATACTTAGCACAGTACCTAGGTGCTCAATAAATCTTGTCTGAGATAAACAGAACTGAACTCCAGCCTTTACTAGACTAAATTTCCTGTATTTGTATTCCATGCAGTACTTAGCACAGTGTCTTGGTAATAATAGTAATTTAATAAATATTTGTTGAATCAAATTGAATTGTGCTTTCTTTGTATCTCAGAGAAACATCAATTACAGTGATATAGGTAGATGGGGCTAAATAAATATTTAGAATGACTCTTTCAACACTTAATCTTATTGTTTTAACATTCTAAAGCCTGGAATCCACTAAAGTAAGTACATTAGTGTTAATAGATACACTTTTAATCTTTTTTCATGAAGTGTTTAAATTTTGAAGTATTTAGGTGTAAAGAAACAAAGTAGAATTCATTCTTCCTTTTATAAATGTCACTACATTTTATTTTGAGAATAATGTGGATAAGGACCCAGTCTGAGAATTCTAAAAAGGAGCATTTCTACTCGTGAAGGAAGAATATGCGGCACCTTTTTCTTCCACAATCAACCCAAATGTCTCACCACTTAAAACAGATTCTCTTCTGCTTGGATAGCAATCCTGTTCTTAGCAGTTTTTGGAATAATGAACAATCCTCTTCATAATGACAGAAGTTTGAGCCTTAAAAATAAAATAAATAATTAAAAAGGAGAAGGGAGAGCTGACTGATTGGAACGACACCAAATTTTTATTTTCAATGGCATTTGTAGCTGCTAGAAGTGACACAATTTGTGTCAGTCTAGGAACTCGAGGTAACCAAACATAAATTGTAATTGACCAAATTAAAGCCAGAAGAATTGTAATTAGTTCATTAAATAAATGATGTGGAGAATTTCCCAACTTAGTGGTGAGATACAAAACAACAGACCATCTATTCAATAGAAAATAAGATAAAAAGGGATAAAAAAAGAATAAAAACCTAACTTTCTCTTCAAAGGAAGCAAAGAAAAGACAATGGAAAGAAACATTAAAAAAAAAGAAGATTCAATTAGCAAGGAAGGAGAAAAGGAGAGAAATCCAAGTGGGATCTCCGGGAGGGAAAAGAACGTGATGAGAGTTTAGATCATAATCTATAAATAGCCTTTTATTTTATAAATCCTTCATGTGATGCATAGATTATACAGTGAGTCTCCCTTGTCCTTAATATGTACAGTCTCCCGGCACATACCTTTTAAGGCAATCTGCAATAGTAAGCACAAAGAACTAGCTCTGGAAAATGACTTGGGCTTCTCTCTTTAAAAAACCAAGAGGAAAATTGATGAGGAGAGAATCTGGGAACATTGCACAAATTGTCAGGAGGGCACAGGAGGGATAAGTCTTAGTAGACTATGAAATAATTCAGAGGAATTGTATGCCCCTCTTCTTCTAACGTATAGGTGTGAGGGATAATGTTAATTACCATCCTATAATGAACCCTCCTCCAAATAACACAGGCAACTCCTTTACCTGTCATTCTTCACAGACGTGTCAGGTCTTATGTTCTGTTGGTCTCTTTTCGCCCCTTTGTTCTGACTTTCAATTCTGTCAGATGCTAAGTGGTGGTTGTGGAAGGGGGCTGAGGATGGAAAAGCAGAGAGTATGAAAGGGCAGATATTTTGTAATTAGTTTGTTGATGCATTGTTGTGTTTTCAAGAACTCCTTTCCACATTTACAAACACTTGAATTGAAGGAGCAGTCTTTGTAATTCCTATACCAACTTAATACTTTTTTCCAGGTTTTTAGCAGGGCAAAGAATCATCAAAGGTAACCATCATGATAGTTGGCACTTCTCTTGAATATTCTTTATCACTGGCCATCATTATTTTTTAAAGGAAAAATCCCCTTATTTTTAAAGAGGAAATAAAATATATCTTGAGATACCCCTTCCCCAACCCCTGCCCCCGTTTCCCTGCCAACACAGGGATCTGTTATAAACATCTATGTTCCTACTCTTCTCTTCCCACCCAGCCAGGAGAACCAGAGTGGCTGAGGAAAAAAAGCATTCATCTGTGGTTTGATGGGCAGGGTCAGTGGACTTTCCCTCCCACCAGACAAATTTCAAGACCTTTAAAAATCTATGCCATCAGTTTTTTTTTTTTTGGAAGATAAATATATCACATATTCCCTCGGTCACTTATCCTGAGAATATCTCTCTCCTACACATTTATTCTAGCCAAAAATATAATGTAGAGTTTTGTTTTGGTATTTTTATTACAAAAGGAAAGTGTTATATCTTAAGAATTTATATATATATATATACATGCGCACACACACACACACATATATATAATTTATATTTCCCACTGACAATTTTTCACCATAAATCTCTTAGGACTCTCAATGAGTTTTTCAAAATGTCCATGGAGACCATGACTTAAGATAATAAAGTAATGAATGCCAATAAGAGAGGCTTCATTTCTCTAAGTACATCATCCCCCTAAAAGTCACTTTCTAGACTCAATACCCCTCCCGAATTATCTAAATTTCTCTCATTGACCACAAAAAAATGTTGCTTTGTACATTTCCATCTTTGGCATTTTTGTCATATTTCATATGCTCTCTCTGGGGAACCTCATTCTGTACCATAATTTTAAATACTTTCTTTGTATTAACAGTTCCCAAATCTGTATCTCCAGCCTGGAACTCACTCTTCACCTTTAATACTAGAGGACATATCCACCTGCTTATTCAACATGTTCCTATGGAAGTCTGTTTTTCCCTAGTACCTGAACCCGAACCATCTCATTCTCCCAGATTCCATCTCTCAAGATAATCACAGTTGACCTGGATGTCACTTTTAACACCTTCCATTCTTTCACAGCTTCCTTTCTTCCCCGCCTCACATAGTGTCATCCAATGATTCATCAAATCCTGTGAATTTTCCCTTTGATGTGTCTCTTTAAGTCATCCCATCATTGCTATTATCACTACCAGGTCCTACTATAGTGTCTTACCATCTCTTGCCTAGATTATTGTAAGCACATTCTAAATGATTTGTGATTCCAATGTCATCTGTATATACTTTCAGAGTTTTTATAAAAATATGATCATCTAAGTCCCTTCAATTAAGTTTCCTGATATATCCTTTTTAAATTCCTTCTAAATCTGGCCTCAGCCTCATCTCTTACCACTTATAGCACCACTTAACTATTCTGGGCATAGTTCCATATCAAATAAAATACCTGAGTATTTTAACAGCTCATATTAATAGCTACAAATTTTGTATTATATATAGGAACTACAATATATTTTAGTAGTCCTCTATTGATAAAGTTTCTAATCTTTACTATTACAAACTATTATAAACAATGCTCCGAAGGCCATCCTTGTGCATACAGCTCTTCATATTTTCACACTATGTGTGAATGTCTACAGGGTAGCTGCAAAGAGGACCATATGATACCTGACCATGCAGAGGGTTGCATTGGAGCAAAGAAACCCTGAGATTATTGAGACTGGATCTTTGAACATGGCTGAAAAATGTGTCTGCTTTTTGCTCTGGATGGAGACATTATACTGGAGAGCAAGGATGCTTGTCCTTTGCTCTGGAGAAAGACACTATTTTCCAAGACTGTAAGCAAGCTTGCTCTTTTCTCAAGATGAAGACATTATCTCTATCTCTCAAAGCTTTTCACTAGACAAACATTCCTAAAATGATAGTTTGGAGCAAAAGGCAGTCAATGACTCACTTTTCAAGACAAGCAAAAGTGTGAAAGACCCATGGATAACTGTCTTCCCACAAAATTCATTCTTTGTTTCTAAACCATCCTGGCTTCTGGCAAATGTTCCCATGAGTATGTGACTTCACCAGCCACTCTGATCTGACCAACAGAGTCTGGGGCTGAATTCTTTCAATTTGTCTCATACAGAATTTAATTAAGGTTGATATCCATAGGACTTTAAGCAGGAGGATGAGGCTAACTTGCAGGATTGACATCAACTATAGCCCCCCAAATCCCATGCTCAACCAGCTGAATAAATCTCATGAAAGCATTATGATCTACCTTAGAAAGCCAGGTGGCTTTCTCCTAAAGTCTCTAATTTGACTTTACCACTATATTGAAGGCATTAACTCAGGCATATGGCTACATGGAGAAAATCTAGAATAAAATCTGTCCTCTATAACAGCCCTGACCAGTGGCATCATTAATCATTTCTGCTGATGCCGATGACAAATTTCATCCCACTTTTTTAAAATTAGATGATGCCTATTAAAGAGGTCTCCAGGGCATGCACAATAATGAAGCAATGATCCCTACAGAAGTTTCCCCAGGTAATCAAGGATGGCTCATTTTGAGAGATCTTCACAGTAATCTAAGGGCAAAATGATCTATTGGTGGTGTTACTTTCAACATTTGAAGGTCTTATGACCACCCCTCAGGCACAAACCACCATATTTTGGGGAGGAAGGTAAGGTAATGTCTGGCTTCAACACAGAGAGTATAGTTATAGAGGTGTGTGTGGTGACTGTAAAAGAACATGCTATCTCTGTCAGTCTCCATCAGAAGGACTTACATCAATTAAGTATCAAGCTTGACAGTAATAAAATATGGTTTCCCACTGGCTGGTAACCATTACGATTTCTGGTTCTATTTGAATTTTTTAATCTAGTTCTCAGGCAGTTCTTTTTTTTTTCTTTTTTTAAATATTTTTTTAAATGTTTTATTTATTTCTGAGAGAGAGAGTGTGTGAGCAGAGGAGGGCCAGAGAGAAAGGGAAACACAGAATCTGAAACAGCCTCCAGGCTATGAGCTAGTTGTCAGCACAGAGCCTGACATGGGGCTTGAACCCATAAACTTTGAGATCATGACCTGAGCCAAAGTTGGACGCTTAACCAACTGAGCCACCCAGGAGCCCTATCAGGTAGTTCTTCTGATCCTTCCTATTTGTCCACAGCACCAGCTAGGCATCACTTATCTGTCCCATGGAATGACTGAAAGCTATAGCAATGGAGAAAGGCAAGTACCCCACGGTGTTGACAGATGTTTTGTGTGCGTGGTAGATGAGGCAGGACTATAATCTGTGCCTTCCCATTGTTTTTTAAGCTGGATTTCAGGAAAGAGCGATAGAATCATGGTCAGGCCCATCTGACAGGGTATGACAGATCCAGCAGTCAGTTCTATTCAAGGTATTTGTAACAACCTAGGATAGCGACAACAAGACATTTTAGCTCATGAATAAAGTGGCAGGGGTGATTATGAAAGAGAGAATTTATTAATGTTTCTTTCCCTCATACCTTTTGGGGTCTGAACTATTCCTTCCCCAGAGAACAGGGGTGCTGTTTTCCCTCAATTACCACAAAATCTGTGTATAGCTATATCCTCACCTTTTTTCGAATCATCTACTCATGCAGAAGGATCAGGTAAAAGAGGGACATGGGCATTTTTATAAAACTTATCAAAACCCTTATGCTTCCCACTTTAACACATGCCGGCCATTGTAGGACACTTCAAGCAGTGTACTCAATCAGGAAGTTATTATCCTTATGTTCTCAGACCATGGCAACTCAATAAGATAAGCCAAGTCACTGACCAAAATTAAGTTAGAATTCATTAGGTCCCCTTTTGGCTGGGCTGCCACCTAAAGGGTTACCAACCAGGCCATCCTGAGGTTGCTTCTAGGGACAAAAAAAGTCATTATGCTTAGGAATAGCTCAGAAATCTGAATTTTCAAAATAGATCTATATAACCCACTCTGTTTTGTCTTGATCATTATGACAATTATCCAGGAAGTGGCCAAAGGGCAATTATCATTTATGTATATAGCCATATTCTGTGACCAATCAGCCAAAAAGTTTCCTACAATCTTCCAGATTATAGTTTTACAAGTACTAGAGCAAACATCTAGGCAATAGTCCAAGATTCATTTAATCTATAACTTGGTTCATCAAGGGTAGTCATGGCTAAAGCTATGAGAGGCATCTTGTGCTCTTCCCACAGAGAGGAACAACCAGTCATGTTTGGTTCTGTATGGCTGGCACTAATGTTGAGGAGCCAGAGTTGGTCAGTAGACACTGCTGCGTTTCTGCTTATCTGATTCATCAATGAACTAGGCCCAGATATTTAGGGTAAATTCTGTGAATTCAGGGTACAACCCAGGGCACATAGCCAGTAGCTTTATTTTAGGCCACAGAGATGATAGAGAGAGATGAGAGGAAGTATTTTTAGTACTAGTACTTTTCCAATGTGGTTCTTATGGATCAGTATGAACATTCACAGTACAAGCATGTGAAACATTAATATTAATTATATATTCAGCAAAGGAAGCCACACAACAGTACATTGAAATAACCCAAAGAGTCCAATCTACAAATTCACTTTAACTTCCTTTCCCCACTGAAAACCTTGCCCAAACCCTGTAAGTTGAATTTGGGCATCCCTTTCCTCACCATGGGATCATATAGAACAGTGACTTTCTGCCTGTACTTAACAGAGCTATAAAAATTTGAGTCCTTACCCTCTCCAAAGTTCTGCAGGTTACTAGGATGAATAGGTATGGAATTCAGTCCCCATTGAGGACAAAGAAACTTTAGCTTTACCCCTTATTATCTTTCTTTGTAAAGCAGCTGAGATCAGG